AGGAGTGAAATTCTAGTATATGCTATGCTGTGAATGAACCTTGAACACAGTGCACTAAATGAAATAAGCCAGTCACAGAAGGACAAATTTTATAAGATTTCACTTATATGAGGGACCTATAAATTTGTAGAGACAAAGTAGGAATGGTGGTCACCACGGGTTGGTAGGAAGAAATGGGAATTATTATTTAATAGGTACAGTTTCAGTTTAGAATTCTAGAGATGGATGGTGTGATGATTACACAGCCATGTGAATGAAGTACTTTATGCTCTGTACTGTGTGTTTAAAAAATGGTTAAAACGGTAGATTTTATGTATATTTTACCACCATAAAAATACTAGGAAAAAAAACAACTAAATAAAACCACAGTTAAATTTTAAAACTAGATATCTATCTTCCGAGTTATTGTTGAGTGTACAAAATTAGCAAAATAACAGAAAAAAAGAAATAGAAACTTAAGATAGCATAAACAAATCAGCTGAATGGATTACAATGAAGTGTTTTTAGCTGTTATAAATAATGTTAGCATACAATGGCATTGTCTCACATGCATTTAACTTAAGCAAATTCAGTTGCTTATATTTAACAAAAGACAAGGAAAGTTTCTTCTTGGAAAATCCTTCATGAACTCCTAAAACTAAAATAGATCCTCTTATTCTCTTAGTACTCTATATTTTCTTAACAGAAAGAATCCACAAATAAAAACAACAAAAAAAGAATTTTAAGAAAGAATTTTAAAAAGTGCAAGTGTTTTGTGCACTATACTCTATGAGCATATTACCATGAGGGAGTTTGAAATGGGAGATGGGAAACCTCCCTTTTTCAAAATTCATTGTCCTCATTTGCCTTTTATAGTTTAAGCATCCTATCTTTATTCTGTTTCCCTTATTGTAGAGTTTAAAAGTGTCTTTTTGGTGCAATATGGCCTCTAAACCCAAGCCAGGTAATTCTTCAGGTACTCATTGCAAGCCAGGAGAAAAGAGCAGACTCCTGTGTGACATGGACACTGGCCCGCAGTGTCCGTGGTGTTACGGATGAGATGGAATAAATTCACATGGACTGTCAAGTCCTGTGGAGGGGAAAAGGGATGGTGAGACTTCTCTCTCAAGGGGAGAGCAAGCCTCAAAGCGCCTTGGCCACCCTCTCAAGAAGAAAGCACCCCAACCCTTGCCTTGAGAAGCTTTTATTGGATTTCATTTGCATAGGAATACAGGGTGTATACATAAAGCTCATTAGTCATTATCAGGCAGTAAGGATCAAACAATAGATAACATACAAAGAACTCTGAGGGCCTATTTTGAGTCAGGGTCAGATAGTTAAATGGCCATAAAACTTTGGGGAACAAACTCACTTCCTGCTTGGACCCTTATCATTTAATTGAGAACATCCTAAACAAAGCGGGTTTCACAGTATTTTACATATTCTTTCTTAGGCCTGATCTCCCGAGGGAACCCGCCCTTTCTAGCACAGGGCTGCACCCACCACTGGCATTGTTTCAGGCTTAAGGCATTGTTTCAGGCTTAAGTCAGGCAGGGGAAGTAAGGCAGCCAAGAGATTAGGAGAGTTCTGGAAGACAGAATGAGGACTCAGGCTATATCAAAACCAAGGGGCAAGGGTCCATCACCCCTTTTCTGTAGCCTGAAAGTCCTTCCCTGGCCGGGGGCGGGGGGGGCCTGTGATTGTGCCTGTCTTAGGTTGTCCCTGCCTTGAGGAATTTTACCCATCATTGGCTAACCATTATTGGCTAACCGATCAGGCAGGGTGAAGTAAAAAAGGCAGAGACGGTGCCCCTGCCAGGGAGATAAGCTTTGTCACCTTAGTGACTTATGGTCCAAAGGTCACTCACTCAGCCTCAGCCATGGGGTGTTACAGCTCCTGAAACCAGGCAGGGCGGTTTCCAACACCAGTGGATTTATTGTACGGATAGGATGTCAGTTTTGACATGATGCCTTCTTTAGGAACCTTCAAGGTTGATTTTGACCCTGCATGGTTTTTCAACTTATGGGCTGACTTTAAATTCTAAATTCCATTTAAAATGTCTCTGAGTAAAAATATATGAAACCATACATTGTGATCTCATATGTTCACTTAGAAGAATATATAATCAAAGTTACAGGGTTTTTTTATTTTCTGCGTACTTTTCTAAGAATTTTCTAAGATAAGCAGGTCGGGGTTTTTTTAAGGTGACAGAAAGCTTTCAGCTTATGTTCATTTATTTTATTCAATCAAAAGATGTTAAAGCTCTTACTGTGTTCCTGGCAGTTACTGTGCTAGGTGTTACATTTCAGGGGTATGGGAAATAAAAGTGACCCCTATAATTAGGAAGTGCAGGTTAAAGTGGAAAGATAGATTAAGCAAATTAAACAAATAGACCACAAATAAGTACAGGATTACAAATGATGAGTGCTAAGAAAAGACAAAATCCTAAGAGCATAATAGGAGGACCCGGTTTAGTTTTAGGAGCTTATGGAGGATTTTCCAAGACAGAAGAAATATTTGAGCTGAGTTCTGGAGATTAAATGTGAGTTAGGAAGGCAGGATGGAGAATGAATGTTATGACCAGAGGGAACAATATGGCCTAAGTTACTGAAGCAGGGAAGTTCGATACCTTTGACAAATGAGAAAAAAAGCAATGTAGGTAGAACAGAGTGGTAGCTAGATATGGGTAAATATAAGTAGGTCCAAGATCATAAAGGGTTTAGAGTAAACCATATTAAACTATTTGAATATCTAATAGGCAATTGTGGTTTCATTTACATTTGTAAAATTTATTCTGGAGAATAGCACGTAGATGGGAAGGCAGGGAGCCATTGTGGGGAGTGTCAGGAAGTAAGGACACCAATTAGTTAGAAGTCAGTACCAAAGATGGTAATATCTAGGGTTAGAGAGTGATGGCGACACAGATGGAGAGAAGTAGATAGAGTCAATTTATTTTTAGGAAGTAATTCCTCCTGGACTTGGCAATAGAATGTGGTGAGGCATAAGGATGTGAAAAAATGACTTAGTGTTCTAGAGTAAGCAAGCAACTTACCTAGAAACTGAGTAGAAATGTCATTTTCTGAGATAGAGAAATCTTAAAGAAGTAGCAGATTTGAGGAAGATGATCAAAATATCTGCCTTGCTCATGTTAACATGAGATTCCTATTCCACATCCACGTAGAGATATTAAATCTGCAATTGAATGTAGGCATTGTCAATTTACAGATGTTGAGGTTTATGCCAGGGCAGCACAAAGACGGTGGCACTATTCACATCATAAACATATGCTGTTGTTTCATGAAAACACACAGGTGGGTATGAAGGTTCAAGACCTCCTGTCAGAGACTTGGAATAGCAGTGTTAACTCTTCCTGCCCCAAACATAAATTTACCTTTACACATCCTAGAGCTATGCACAGGTGCAGGAAAACAAGTACATACACAAACACGTATATAGCTCTACTCTTTCAGATGCCTCTCGGCTCCACTAAGATTGATTCACTTGCTTATCCATCCACTGCTCTCAGGAACTTAGTTATTGTTCCCCACCTGACTCGGAAGCTGACATAGTCACCTGTCTTGGAGAATGAAAGGTGGTAGTAAAGGTAGTGAAGAGTGTGCATGTGTATGCTGCTCTTGCAGTGTGTGTTCTCTGGTTATCTGGAAGTAGTTGTAAGAAGAGTGACCCCCATGTATAGTTGCTTGTATTCTACCATAATACATAATAACTTAAATTTTTTGTAATTGAGGAAGGGACTGGTTTTCTAATTTCAGCATAAAATGCTGTAAGGACTAGCTGTGTCCTGAATGCTAGAATCTGAAGCTCAGAAGAAAGGTCCCAGTTAGAGACATGTATTTGTTGGTCATCAGCATATAGATAGTGTTTCATACATTGGGAAGTTGATTTTACCCAGGATTTAATGAAAGCCCGGTTCTGACCCCTTGATGAACTCCTACAATGAGAGATTTGGTGGAAGAAAAGCTACTAGGGATTTGCCAGAGAGGTAGGGAGCAAATAAGAGAAAGTGATGCCATAGCAACTGAGAAAAATCCAAATACAATCAGTATCATAACTAATAAGGCTTAGAAGGATCCTTGCAATCTGTCTTGAAAAATTCTTCATGGTGTATTAAATACTTGCATTGTACTGATGATACTGATACCTACCCAACTTTTATTGCATATACATTTTAGGTGCCCAGAAAATGCATGAAGTACAGAATCCCAGATTAGAAAGAAAAAACATTTGTACAAGATAATTCTAAAGTTACTGCAAACTCTTAGATGTTCAAAGATGTTCTTTTGTCCCTTATATGTGGCATAGATAAACTTATCAGTGAATATAGGAGCACTGAAATTTTTTAAAAAATAGTTTCAGATCTTGTATTTCTTTATCACATGAGCTTCCTTTCACTGTTTTGTCCTTGTGTTATCAGATTGATCTTCCTAAAACATAGCTGATTTCATTTCCCTTGATTTAAAAAGAGAATTTCATGTGCAATAAAATTTATACTCTTTAGCTTGGGATTCCATGCCATGCTGAATTTTGTCCAGAACAATTACTTTTAATATTTCCCACCACTCTTTTTTATGTACTCTCCATTCTGTAACTGACCACAAATGTGTCTGCAGCTCTTATATAGTCTTTGCTTTCCTGCCTCCTTGTCTACTGATGCTGTAACCTCTGCCTAAAATGTCTTTATTCCTTCCTCTGTGTTTTTCAAAAAGCCCACTTATTTTCCAAGGTACAGTCTATTTTCTTCCTCTCAAAACCTTCCTGAGCTGGAAATTGTCTCCCTTCTGAGCTATTAGTCTACTTTATATTTCTTATTTGTTTCTCCACTGTGTATTGTTGCTATTTATTGTACATGTCTGACACCTTCAGTTCGACGTCTCCTTCTGATTACCCTACACATTCCCGTTGTAGTGCCTTTTTTATTTAAGTGGGCTAAGGGGTAAATTTTTGCCTTCAACTTCATGTCTAAATTTGTGTTCATTGCACTACTTTCCTATTTTTCTCAGGATCCAATGATGCCATTGCTCCACACTTCCCAGCTCAGGTGCTAGGCACCAGAGATGATGACCTAGCACTTCCTGTTAATATAAAACATAAAGAGGGGATCTACAGTAAGAGGGCAGCAGCCAAGACATCCTCATTGGTGGGGCAAAAACCTTTTCAGAAAGATAGTGCAGGTAACTGGATTGGCTTTGTATATTTTGTGGCTTCTACTTCCCATTCATTTTAAATAAGAATGTTATCCAGTCTTTTACTGCTTTGTTATATAAACTTTTTTTTAAGTTATTTTATGGGTATATAGAAAAAAGTAGAATTATTTATAAAATCTTTAAGATGCTTCACAGATTTTTGAAACCTGTAAACTTTATTCTTACTATGGAAGATAAAATAAGTTACAACTTTTGAAATGAAATAATATCCAGTAGAGTACGTTTTAGAGACTAGAATCCATAGAAAATCTTGATTAAATTGCCTGATGAGTTTATCTGTCAGATGGTACAAACTAGTGGCAATTTGGTATATATAGATAACCCTTTGATCCCACTGACAATCAGTTGAAGGACAGAGAGGAAATGGAAAATTTGGCAGGGAACAAAGTGATAGACTAGGGGAACTTTATTAGAAGCCTGCATAAAGAACTCACCAGCTATAACTCACCCCTGGGCTGCATTTGGTATATGAGAAATAAAAGTCTCAGTGGAAGGACTGAAATCTAAAAATGAGAAATTGCTTAGAAGATAGAACATAAAAAAGTGAGGAAAGAAAATTTAGATTGGCTCAAAAGATTCAATCTCAAAAAAACAGATGTTCCAAAGAGACAACAGAAAATCTATTAATTAGAGCCATATATACTCATATTAGTGTGAGTAAATTCCCAAATCTTAATATTGAGTGAAAAGGCATGTTGCCTAGAGGTACATAAAGTATCATACCATTTACATAAAGTTTAAAGACATGCAGAACAATCCTGTACATTGTTGATTAATTCATGTAATATAATAAAACAAATAGAAATAAATCCTTGAGACTGATGAGCTCTATGCAAAGTTTGCTACTGAAAAGAAAGAATGGAATCATTGTGGCTTAATACATAGAATTATTATAATTATTATATCTGTAATGTTTTATTTCTTAAGCTGTGGTAGACATATTGGTATTCATTGTGTTATATTTTTAGTAATCTCTATTGCCTTTCTGATTTTTTTGTTGAAAATATTCATAATTAGAGATAGGAAATGATTTTCTTGTTAATCCATTATAAAAACTTAACCATTATTAACTGACAACTGGTACCTTAGTTATATTGGTGGATTTTGAATATATTTACTAACATATTAGTTTATGCTTACATTTTCTCATATAATAAAAAAGTAAATAGTTGATTTAAAAGACCAATAAGATAGATAAATCTCTAGAAAGTATGACCAAGAAAAAAAAAGAAATTTGAAAGTATTAGACAAGTTTAAAAGGCTATAATTTAAGATTTTAAAATTTATATGAGTACTATATATAAAATATACATTATATAAGTACTTTCTAGGATTAGATGGAATATCAAAACTGTCTCCATAAGTAACAAAAACTTTGAGTAGGCCAAAGAACTTGAAAGAGTTGGGGAAATACACTTTTCTACTTTGAAAAAGATACCTATCTCGACTTTGTTTTATTTACTGTTGTATCAAACTGCAAGGACAGATTTTATTTAAAGTGATATTTTATTGTTGTATACAGAAAAATGCAGAAAGCTTTGCAGTTCATGTCATAAATACTCCGTAACTGTCACAGCTTTTACATCATGAGGCCTAAGAGGTGCTTTTTTCCTGATATATAAAGCAGTTTGGTGTTTTGGGGTAGGGGGAGTAGGGTTATTTGCCCTTTGTTTTTATTATCTTTTCTTTCTCTGGTGTGAAATGATGTTATTTCAGATGCCCAAGTTCAAGTTCTTATCAGTGAAGATGAGAACCTCTCAGACAAAAACAAGAAAAAGGGGATCTACAATAAAAAGGCAATGACTAAGCCTGCCCAATCTGAAGAAACAGACTTCTTGCAGAAAGACACTGCAGGTAGCTGAACTGGATTATCTGGCCTTCTGAAATGAGAATAAGCAGAACAATATTCTCTATTCTCTTCTTGCTCTCTTCAACCGTTCTCTATCTTGCTCATATGTGAGATAAATATTAGCTGTAATTTTTATTATACATTGACAGGTATAAAACCAAATGTTTTATAAAACATTTTTAAAGCTTTTTGAGGCATTCCTAGAGAATTTTGTGAATATAGTACACAATTTCATTGACAGAATTTCACACAATGGACATTTATTAAAAATTCAGTGCCATGAGATGCTGACTTTCTAACATCGTTGTACAGAAACTTCTGTGCTTTATGAATTTAGCTTGTTTACTTTCTTAATTAGCTATCCATTTAGTTTACTTTAATGGGACTGTGCTATATAAAAGTGTCTATAATACAGTATGTTTAGGTTAGGATTAGTTTTGACTCTAAGAGATGAAAACAAAAACAAAATAACATTGGTGTAAAGAAAGCAGGAAATTTTTTCTCTTTCCTGTAAAAACCCAGAGGTAGACATCCAGGGATGACATGGTACTCCATATTATCAGGAAACAAAGCTTTTGGTCTTCTGTTGCTCTAACATTTTTAGCCTCCATTATCATGCTGTAGCCATCTGGCTCATATTCCAGCCAGCAAAAAGTAAGAAAGGGAGAGAAAAAAACATAGTCCTTCTTTATAATACTCCTCAGTACTTACTTGTAGTATTCCCTTTCCATGCTATTGGACAGATTTTGTTACATGGTCTCACCAAGCTATGCTGCCACAGAGGCTGGGAAATATCTTTATTCCAGTAAAGGCCAGCTAAGTCAGGGATCTATTTTAAAGGAAAAGGAGAATAGATTTCAGAGGACAGCTGGTAGTATGCCACAATGTAAACAAAAATATTTTGGAGTATAATTAGCCACCTGTCTTTATTTTTGTATTACTTTTCAAAACTCATATTGTATTCTGCTCAACACTTCAAAATTTTATCTTCCTTTTCAGTGTTCCAGAAATACTCTTGATCATGTTAATCTAATCAAAACTTTTCATTGCCCTTAAGAATAAAACTTATCTTTTACCACAGTCTTTCAGAACAATAGAGTCAGCTCCCAAATTTTCAAATGCTAATTTTTATCTCTGTTTCTTATAAATTCTGTAATCAAACCATATACTTGTTCTATTTCTTAGATGTTTAGTTGCTTTCCTGACTCTATTCTTATGTAGTCACCTCTGCCTTAAAATGTCTTTGTGCTTTCATCTTAGTGTGTATCCCAGCTCAGCTATCTTTTTTTATTATTATTTTATTGATTATGCTATTACAGTTGTCCCAATTTTCCCCCTTTGCCTGCCTCTGACAGCACCCCCCACTCCCTCAGGCAATCCCCACATTATTGTTCAAGTCCATGGGTCATGCGTATAAGTACTTTGGCTATGCCATCTCCTATACTGCTCTTTTCATCCACATGGCTATTCTGTAACTACCTATTTGTACTTCTTAATGCCCTCACCTCTACACCAATTCCCTTCCACCCCCCTTCCTACTGACAACCATCAAAACACTCTCCATATCTGTGATTCTGTCTCTGTTCTTCTTGTTTGCTTAGTTGGTTTTTTAGATTCAATTGTCAATAGATTTGTATTTTTTGCCATTTTATTGTTCATAGTTTTGATCGTTTTCTTAAATAAGTCCTGTTAACATTTCATATAATAATGGCTTGGTGATGAATATTGCTTTAGTATTTCCTAGCCTGGGAGGCTCTTTATCTGCCCTTTGATTCTAAATGATAGCTTTGCTAGGTAGAGCAGTCTTTTCATGACTTTGAATATTTCTTGCCAATCCCTTCTAGCCAAAGTTTCTTTTGAGAAATCAGTTGACAGTCTTATGGAAACTCCCCTGTAGCTAACTTAACCACTTTTCTCTTGCTGATTTTAAGATTTCTCTCTTTATCTTTATTTAACCTTTGACATTTTAATTTTGATCTGTCTTGGATAGGGGCCTCTTGGCATCCATCTTGTTTGGGACTCTCTGTGCTTCCTGGACTTGCGTGTCCATTTCCTTCACCAAATTAGGGAAGTTTTCCTTCATTATTCTTTCAAATAGATTTCCAGTTTCATTCTCTTTCTCGTCTCCTTTTGGCACGGCTATGTTACGAATGTTGGTCCTCTTGAAATTGTCCCAGAGGCTGCTTACATTATCCTCAGGTTTGTTTGGGTTTTTTTGGATTCTCTTTTCTTATTGTTGTCCTGATAGGTTGTTTTTTGCTTCTTTATGTTCCAAATCATTGATGTGATTCTTGGCTTTATCCACTCTACTGTTGTTTCCCTATAAATTGTTCTGTATTTCAATTAGTATGTCCTTTGTTTCTGACTGGATCTTTTTTATGTTGTTATCTTCACTAAGTTCATTGAGCATTCTTATAACCAGTATTTTGATCTGTTCTGTCATTTCAGCCAAGTTACTTTGGCAGCTTCCCCATACAGCTACTGACTCCCTGTCTTAGTATCGTGGCTTAATGTAGTAGGTGTCCTATAGGATCCAGTGGCAGAGGCTACCATATCATCTAAGCTGGGTACTTGAGGTATGCCTTCTTGTTGGCTGCGTACACCCCCCTCTTGTAGTAGTCTTTGTTGTTATTGGTAGATCAGTGGGAGGGATTTACCCAGGCTAGTAGGATGCAAGGTCTGGCTGTGACCACTGACCACCAACCTCCACCCTCCGTGGAGGATCAGCTGTGCAGGGGAAGGGTGGTGATGCTCCAGCGTGGTCTGTAGCTGTCCACTGGGTTTGCAGGCCCTGCAATTTCCCTGGTGGTGCAGACCAAGGTCAGCCCCTACCTAAATTCTGCCTGGGACCACACTGCATGAACTGCAAAGCAGTCTAAGATGGCTGCTACTTGTGCAGGGCTTGGAGATTCCCAGGTGAAGGTAAGCTGTGAATCTAAGCTGGCTGCTGCTAGTGCCAGGCCTGGAGCCACTTAGCAAGAGGTACAGGTCAGTGCGCTCACTGAGGCTGGCTGTTGCCAATGTTTGAAAGGATTTAGAAAGTTGTGAAGCATGACCCAAGACCAGCCATTCACATGGAAAAGTCACTGTTAACAACTTGAGTGGGCCATAACTGGGGTAGGGCGGAGCCTCAGGGAATCTCCAGGGTGGGGTTGGAGTTTCAGATAAGGCACCTGCCTGCCAACTCTTTGTCTCTGTGGAGGGAGGATTCAGAAAAGGAACAGTGACCTCTGCCCGCCTTTCTGTCTGGGAGAAAGCCCTCCCAGCTCTCACCTTGATGCCAGACACTTCAGTTCCTCCCTGTATGCTGCTGGTGCCTTTCAAACTGCTACCCTGGTGCTGGAGCTCAGAGGGAGTGAATCTAAGTAAGTCCTTGTGCAGGTTCTTTAACAGGAACTACTTGGGTCTTTAGCAGTTTCTTCCACTGACTCAATTCCTACTCATTTTTGCAGCCATGAGTTATGGGGACTTATCTTCCCAGCAGTGGAACCCTGGGCTGGGACTCATCATTCCCAAGATATCCCTCCCAAATTTTTATCTACCACATGTGGATATGGGACCAGCCTGTTTCATGTCTCCACCCTTCCTACCAGTCTGGATGGATGTGGTTCCTTTTTATTCCATAGTTGTCAGAGGTCCATTTAATTCAATTTCTAACAGTTCTGAGTGATGGTTTTCTATAATTTAGTTGTAATTTTGATAAAGGTGTGCGAGAAGGCCATCCATATATGCCTACACCGTGGTCTTCACCGGAAATCCCTCAGCCATCTTCTAACAGCAAACTTAGTTAACTTTACTCCGGAGGTCTTGCATGATCCTCCTAGTTGGAATTGGTTTTACTTCCTTTGAGTACTTGCATTTCTTTATCTGTCTTTCTCTTATAGTGTAACTCTTTTATTTTGTATGATGTTTCTTTTTGTACATTTTTGTAAACTCCAATTTAGGGCAGCTGTTTCTAAAAACATTCCTGATTGATCTTTTTAATTTTTTTCAACACCAGTAATAATTGCTTTTCACATAATAGATGCTGGAGAAGTATTTTAAAACATTTTTGTCAAATTCTTATTTGAATAGAATGTTAATTCCTCTTTCTTAGATTCTAGTGATGCTGTTGCTGCAAAGCTCTCAGCTCAACTACAAGACACAAAGATTGAAAGGCTGCCAGACACTAAAGCCATTAAACAGAAAGAGGAGATCCATAGTAAGAGGACATTTCCTAAGGAAGCCTGGACAGAAGATAAAGAATCCTTGCAGATAAATATTGAAGGTAATGGGATTGGGATGTGTGTGTATATTGGATGGTGCTATGACTGGTTTTGGGGGTTTTTTGGGGGGTGGGTTTTTGTTTGTTTTGTGTGTATGTGTTTTGTTTTGTTTTCATTTTGATGAGAATATAGCCTCATGATTTAAACAAATATCAATTTCTTTTTTTTTGCTTTCTTATATAAATTATAAATTACTTCATTGCTACTTTGTTTACGTGGATACACATATTGATTTGTAAAATTGTTATATCTAGGAAAAGATATTAGGTACTCGGAAACAAGATTGGAAATAAATATTTGATAGTATTACAAGTGAGGTATTATGTCTCAGTATTGACTCAGGGAAAAACATAAAAGTATTCCAGAAGACTGTAACAAAAACAGAAAGAACCTCAGTACAAACTTTGAAAAAATTACAGTAAAAAAGAGCCAAGACTGTATCTATCTATGTTTATTCATGGCCCCATTTTTCTAACAAAAGAAAAGCTCAGAGGACACAAGCCATTACTACCTGACTGTTGTACTTTACCTCTTTGAGGAAGACAGAGAACAATACCCAGATAAGGAAAGAAAGAGTCAAGGAGCTATAATCTATCCATATTTTATTTTGAAACTAGTATAGGGGCAGCTGATCACACTGAGAATGTATAAGATAAATCATTGTCCACAAGGATGCCTAAACAACATAGTCGGGGAGAAACATTGTCTTCAACAAATGGTGTTGGAAAGTGGACATCTATGTTCAAAAGAATGGAGTTGGATGCTTACCTTTTACCACATATAAATATTAACTCAAAATGAATCAAAGGTCTAAACATAAGAGCTAAAATTATAAAACTTAGCAGAAAACATAGGGGAAAACTCCATGGCTTTGGATTTGGCAGTGATTTCGTAGATATGACTCCAAAATGACATGCCACAAAAGGAAAATTAAAAATAAGTTATACCAAATTAAAAACTATCAAAGGACACAACAGGACAAAAAGGCAATCTGTGAAATGGGAGAAAGTATTCGTAAATCATGGTGTTTTTTATCCAGATTATATATGGACTTCTCTAATTCAACAATAATAGAGAAATCCAACTTAAAAAAAAGGGTAGAGGATTTGAATAGACAGTTCTCCAAAGAAGATACATGAAAGACTAAGAAGCATACGAAAAGATGCTCAATTTCACAAATCATCAGAGGAATGTCAGTTGAAACCACAGTGAGATACACCTTCACATCCATTAGAATGACCACTATCAGAACAGAAAATTACAGTTGTTGGCAAGGATGCAAAAAGACTGGAACCATTGTGCACTGTTGGTAGAAATATAAAAGGGTGTAGCCATTGAAGAAAATAATATGGGGGTTCCTTAAAAAAATTAAAAATACATTTGGTATATAACCCAGCAGTCCCATTTCTTGGTATGTATCTAAAAAGAAAGAAAATCAAAGCAGATCTCAGAGATGTCTACACATCTATGTTCATGTCAACATTATTCAGATTAATCAAGATATGAAAACAACCCAGCAGATGGATAAAGAAAATGTGATAAAAACATACAGTTAAATATTTTGCAGCTTTAAAAAAGAAGGAAATCCTGCCAATTGCTACAGCATAAGTGAACCTCAAAGACATTGTATTAAGTGAAATAAGCCATTCACAAAAGAAAAAATACTGGATGTTCCATTTATATAAAATATAGAAAGCAGTCAAAATTATAGAAATATAAAGTAGAAAAGTGATTGCCAAGAGAGGGAGAGGGTGGAAGAATTCATGTTTAGTGGATATAGAGTTTCAGTGTTGCAGTATAAAGATGTTCCAGCCCTGGCCGGTGTGCTTCAGTGGATTGGGTGCCGGCCTGCAAACTGTAAGGTCTCCAGTTCAATTCCTAGTCAGGGTACATGCCTGGTTTGCAGGCCAGGTTCCTAGTTGAGAACATGTGAGAGACAACTGTTTCTCTCTTGCACAACAATATTTCTCTCCCTCTCTGTCTCCTTCCCTTCCCCTCTCTCTAAAAATAAAAATTAAAAAATTTTAAATAAAATTTTTAAATAAAGATGTTCTAGAGATCAGTTGCATAACGATGTGAATATACTCAGTACTACTGAACTATACACTTAAAATGGCTAAGATGTTAAATTTAATTAATATATGTTCTTTACTACAATAAAAATGTATAAGATATAAAAACAGAACATCGCAACTCTGCAATGGGTAGTGTAGGAGACATAGTTTGGAAAAGATGGGAATCTATTCTGTAAAGCATACTCTAGAAGAACAAAAAATAATTCTAGAAGACATGAAATACATTAAATAAAAATTGAGATACTAATGAGATATAAGAAGAGATTTAGGAGATGAGAGAACAAATTAAAGGAGAAAATTATACTGATTAATAGAAAAAGGAGATGAAAACAATTAGAAAAAATAACTTCAGGACTCAGTGAAAGCTCAACACAATGATGTCTGTTGGTATCTCGAGAGAAGGTAACAAAAAAAGGAAAAATGTATAAAGAAAGTGAAACCTGCAATTTGAAAGGACATACCAAGTCCTAGGAAAAATTTATATGTAATAATCAACACCCAAATGTATGTTGGTGATAGCACTGAACTTCAAAGAGAAAGAACAAATTGTACAGGCATCCATGCAGAAAAAGCATGGAGAAAAAGCAAAAAGAAAATCAGCAAGGGGACAGGCAGAGTAAATGGAAGTCAAAGGAAATGCAAGTGAGCTAATTTCATCTTTAAAGTTGATGAATCAAGAAATACATACGTAAGTATAAGGCTAAAATTATAAAAGTTACCTCTGAAAGAGTTAAATTATAAATCATTCAAAATATTAAGTAAAATTGTGTACTTGAACAACAATTAAAATAAAATATTTAGTAAAATGGTAGGAGCAACAGGGGTGTGAGACAGGAATTAAAGAAAACATTAAATTTGTAATAAATGAAAAAATATAAAATGAGAGAATGGAGAGTATATAAGCCTATATAAATAAATACATGGGGTGAATTCACCTATTTAAAGAAACTCATATTAGTTTAAAAAACAAACTCAGTCCTACTGTATATAACAGACATTGAAAATAAAATGACTCAGAAGGGTTAAAAATAAAAGGAAAGCTAGAGACATATGAAGAAATATGGAGGCATGATAATATAGGTGAGATTAAATTCAACATCAAAAGTGTTATGGGAACTAAAGAGTAATGTTTTTATACTGATTTGCAATTCACAATGGGATCATACACCTGAATATTTAAACATGAAAGAGCATAAAAATATACAAAACAAAAATGGGAGCATCATCAGTAACGAAGTTTATGTTGCCTTATAAAAGAATGAATTTAACAGAATTATGTGAAAACAACTGCTATGCTATATTGTGCCAAAGGTGCTTAGGGGGATAGGGAGATTTCCTCATGGGAGGAAGAATGCAAAGCCATCCATAAACTGTCCAAAACTTGAGAGGGCCTTCGTGAAGAAGTGGACAATACAGACTAGTGGTTAGGAGCTTGAACACACATACTTAGCTCATACTAGGTCATAGAAATGAAAATTTTTTAAAAGCAAAGTTAAAAATTCATCTGGGAATGCAAGTAATAAGGTTGATTTAATAGATAATGTGTAAAAGTATGCTTATAAAAATAAGGTATCCTCTAAAGAGCAAAGATCTTTAACTTTGATGAAGCCTGATTTACTTTTTCTCTTGCTGCTTGTGCTGTCTGTGTCATATCTAACAATCCTTTGCCAAATCCAAGGTAATGAAGATTTAGCCCTATATTTTCCTCTAAGAGTTTTCTAGTTTCAGCTTTACATTTAGCTCTTCGATCCATTTTGAGTTAATTTTTTTTATGTCATGTGAAGTAAGGGTATAATACTTTATTATTTTCCATGTGGATATCCAGTTGTCCCTGCATCCTTTGTTAAAAAGGAGTATTCCTTTCTCACTGAATGGGCTTGGCACCCTTCTTGGAAAATCAGTCGACTGTAGATATCTGGGTGTATTCCTGGACTCTCAGTTCTATTCTGTTGATCTACATATTTATCCTTGTGTCAGTGCCACACTCTCTTGCTTATCTTTGCCTTATAATAGTACATTTTGATATTGGGAAGTGTGAATCCTCCAACTTTGGGGTGTGTGTGTGTGTGTGTGTGTGTGTGTGTTATGTTGGCTGTTCTGGATCCCATATAATTCCATATGAATTTTGCTATCAGCTTGGCAGTTTCTACAAGGAAAACAGATAGGGATTGTGTTGAATATATGATCAGATTAGAGATACTGCCTTTTTAACAATGTTGTCTTCCAGTCCATGAACATGGGGTGTTTTCCATTTATTTAGATCTTTTTTAAATTTCTTTCCACAATGTTTTGTAGTTTTCAGAGTAGTAATGCTACACTTTTGTTGTATTTATTCCTAAATGTTTTGTTTTGACATTGTTGTGAATAATACTGTTTCCTTAATTTTTTTCAGTTTAAATGTAAGTATATAACAGTGCCATTGATTTTAAATATTTATTTTTTATCCTGCAACATGCTAAACTTGTTTATTAGTTCTAATAGATTTTAAAAGTATTCTTACAATCTTCTGGATACAAAATAGTGATGTCTGAATATAGCTTTACTTCTTACTTTGAAATCCACATGCCTTACCCCAACCCCAACTGCCCTGGCTAACACCTCAAGTACAGTGTTAAATAGAATTAGTAAGAGAAGACATCCTTGTACGTTCCTGTCTAGGGGTCAGACATTCAAGTTGAGTGTGATTTTAGCTGTGTGTTTTTCATGGATGCCCTTTATCAGGTTGAGGAAGTTGCCTCTACTGCTAGTTTTTTTTAATGTTTTTATCAAGAAAGTGATTGGATTTTGTCAGATGCTTTTTGTGTGTCTTTCAGATTATCAAGTAAGTTTTCTTTTGTTGTTGTTTTTATTTATTTAATTTTTAGTTGAGTTTTGGGGGTAACATTGGTTAATAAAATTATATAGGTTTCAGGGTTACAGTTCTATAA